TTTTGCTTGTAATCAACTTGGCATCTACACCACAATCATCGGGATTTTTACTTACAATGTTTTGCTTGAAAGGGACATGGCATGCACATGTGAAGGACAAATGATTCTGTGCTATGTATACTTGATTCTGCCAGTTGTGACCATCCTTGTCTTGATACTCTGGATGGACAAGACGAGTCAGAGAACCTCGGGATCTTCTTGCCAGTGTTTCATTAAGGCACTTCTAGTTGGTCTGTTGTGGATTGTATCTGTGTTCATCGATGGAGACTGGTATGTTTGCTGTATGAATGATCACTCTGAGCAACAGGTTAAGTTAGCCTGCAGAGATAAGGACAACTTTACAGCTGAGGAACAAACAATCATCGCTGAACTGAAAAACTTTTCGAAGGTGATTATTTTCTTGCTTTATAAACATCATGTCAGCCTGTATTACCCCTGAAGTGATTATTATTACATTTTCACTGTGGTCTTTCTAACAGATCAACCTGTGGATCATTGTGTAATTACTGTAAGAACACAATAATTCTCTGATAATATGACCATCTTTGATGGTTCTTTTTCAGGTTTTTGGCTTCTCAATGCTCTTCTTGATCATTTCTGTTGCTGCCCTTTTGTCGCATGCTTGTTGTTGGAGGAAATGCTCCAACCGTTGTTATGGCAGGGAAGTTCTGTACGACAAACTGATTTTGGAAGAAGAGGAACATGTACTGGAAGAGATTCTAAGGACAGCAGCAAAAGAAACGTTGACCCAGATCTTTATTGACAAAATAGGTGAAAGAAAATGGAACGAATGTTTCAATGTCGCTAAAGAACTGAAATCCACTGAACCGACACTTTCTGAACAACAACAACGACAGTGGGAAGAATGGAAGAGAAAAAGAGAAGAAACAGTATCCGTGGCAACAACAGCAGCAGCACAGGTATGTTTTTGACCTAATGAGTCAGTGAATTAGCTCACTGCTCAACTGACCATCATTATCTTTATCAGTTCTCTAAAATATTCCAGTTTCTGCCCTTATACTTTAAAGGACAATGTCCCTACTAAGCTGTTTAGATGGTTCATGAAAATAAATGTTATACTAATATTCCTGTTTACATGCAGCCGTGCGTCCTCCGGTTAACTCCTCTGGTTATTTGCGCATACACCAAAAAACTGTGGATACCCAAGTTTCTCACATTGTTTATAAGTAGGGGAGTTTCTTCTTCAGACGAGAAATGTTGAATTTTCATCTCTACTCCAGCTAACCATAAACGGGAAAACTGCAATAAAAAACACAAACTGAATGCTGAATGAATGAATACATGTGCAAAGAATGCTGCTAAAACCTGAATAATATTGCCATGTCCCACATGTCTAAATCTGGAAATGCTCCATTAAGAACAATGCCCAATTATGAATATCCAAATGGAATGTTTACATGACCCTTATCAACTGTTGATTGACATATTCTGAATCATAGTGGGAAAGTAGTGTGGATGGAAACGTATTCATTGTATGAAACCATTCGCAGGAGGAAGAAATGGGACAGTCAAATGAGACGGAGGTAAATACATTCATATCTAACTGTCTGTCTGTCTGTCTGTCTGTACAAAACAAGGTCTGATCAATTTCCTCTGGCGACTTAAAATTGTAAAACACATGAATAGTGAAAACATAGACTTAAGAAGACTTTATTTATCCATCTTTTGGAAATGTAATTTTTCCACAATGCTGTAAGAAATGAAAGGTTTTAATAATTTGTTAATGATTTTTAACAGCTTTTATTTGTTACCTAATGTGTCTAGTGTGTTTAATGAGACCATTTTACATCAGATCCAGACATGTGATTGGCTGCTGCTTTGATCCAATGTGTGAGTGAATGAGCAAACAGCCAATCACATGTCTGGCTCTTACCTGTTTGTGTTGATCATTGACATATAAAAGGTGGACGTTTCCACTTCCTCCCACTGTACAAAAATGAAGCCAAAATATCCTGAATACAGCAGTTGCCATCTTGCACTGTTGGCGTCATTCGGAGCCGGGGTCTGAGCAGTGGTGATCAGGATTGGTGCCACAGTATTAAACTCCTGCCCATATGCCCGCCAACTCAACCGCAAGGTGGGCTCAGCTGTCAATCGTGATATGAAACCCTCTTTTACAACTAATTAAAACTAAATGGATGATAAACATACATCAGAGTGTATGTATGTATGAACTTTGTCACGTGTGTTAACATGGAGGCTGCTGGTTTCATGAGCTATACTGCAGTCAGCCACCAGGGGGAGATAGAGAGGGTTTGGCTTCACTTTTGGAGAACTGTCATGTCGTCAGTCTATATATGTGGCTGGTCTTTACAAACATAAAGCAAAAACAATGGACACGTCCAATTTTAAATAAAAATTGTTGCAGAATAACTAGCTGAAATAAATTTAGGAAATACAGCCCAGCTTCATAATGAAGCTGGGCTGTATTTATTGTTTATTTAATAATTTATACGTTTAATATTGAACACTTTGGGTCTCCATACTTTATTAGTGTCAGTAGGATTTTGACAATTTCTCAATTTGTTTTTTATTCCAGAGTCTCCTATCAACGGACTAAAATCTGAGGCTCTAAAGAGGATTCAACATAATACTGCTTACAGTCAATAATTGTGGGATGTTTTCTATTACAGATGCAGCTGAGAGACATGAGACAGTTACGATGATATATGTGCTATTAAGATAAGAGGTGTATGTTTGTGAGGTGGGGTGTGGAGAAAAAAAGGATGTCAATTAATTGATGACTTAAAGTATATAACAATGTGTGACACCAATATAGTAATATGTAATAAACTAATAAATAAATATGAATATAATAATACTATAATAATAATATTTTACGACCCTGGCCCTATTGTTGTTTGGTATTGTTTCGTCTGTGGTGTGCTTTGTATTTTGTCCCTGTTTTTCTACAGGAGTGTGCCGCCTGTCTTGCTGGAGATCTTTGACAGCAATCCTAGGTCTCCCCACTGACTGGTTAATGACGTGTGCTCGGCTGGTGGAGTGTCGACTGCTGGTTGGTTCTCCATGTGACATCCGCCGGGTTTAAAACGTCTGGCCTCACAGAAGTCTTTGACAGAAAAACCTAGCATCAGCATCGTTCTGTCCTCGGTCCGTTAGGAGAGTGTGTTTTTTTAGCGTTAGAGCGTTGTGGTTGGCGAGTTTGTGAATATTACTGTTATATTTTTCTTTGTTATGGTTGTATATAATGGGTGCTGTACGGGTGAACTGCCATTTTCTTTTGTACTGCTTTTCTCCAGTTTTTTCATTAGGTTAGGGAGTTAGGGTTAGTAAATGTCATCTGTTTTACTCGTAGGTTAAATAGGGATTAGTCAGGATTTTGTTTGAGAGAGTTAGATCTGTTTTGTTTGGCCTCGGTTCACCCTGAACTTTGTTCCTGGTTTTTGTTGCACTTTTTCCACGATTGTAAATAAGTCACTTCACTTGATTGTTAAATCTGTCCGTTGTTGGTTTGGGGATCGGGGAAGTATTATTGGTTATTACTTTCTTCTTACATTTATGTTGCGCTCCTTCCCCCTAGACAGGGGCGTAACAAAGATAAACATAATGGTTAAGCAGGAAATTTGATTTGGAATTAGATTTTTATAAATTTGTAGCTTTATATTAGAATACATGACTGCAAAGCATCTGAGGGAGGGTTAATGCCCCCACTGCAACCACAGCACCACAAAGCAATTACACTTAAGTACTCAAATGGCCAGCAGCAGCAGAGTAAACCCTGAATAAAAATTTACAGTACATTTTTGTTTCAATTTCAAATGATAATTGCTGTTATTGTTTGTCATTTGTTGGTCATGATGCCTTCGTTAGCTGTAATGCTCTCTTTGATTTGGCACAACAGCGACACCCTGGACAGGAAGGTTAAAATTTGCGATAATGGTGGACTATAAACAAGATAAATATAGCGCTCTGTGATCAGTTTGTCATGGTAAAATATTAACTTTTAATCACAGAATTGTATCATTGTTTCACATTGCATTTACTTTTTGTTTTATTACTGTACTAATAACCTTGGAGCTTCCATTAAATCATGAAGAGAAAACTTTCCATCACCTGGTTCCATCATCTCTCTGATGGCTGTTGGAGGAATAAAGTATTCCACTGAACAACATTATCAGTGTAATCGGGTTACACTTTCAGAGTGTCAGCAGCTGTCAGACTCTGTCTCACGCTGTGCCAACCGAACAAGTCTCAAGCCAAAGATTAAGAAGCCACAAAGCCACTCCATGATAAAAGATATATTTACATATACAGTATCAGTGTTAAATAAGCCTCTCTCTTTAACTGCCAGCCTAGGCCCGTAAATATTACAGAACACACTGAAATCACCAAAACACCTGTTCGATATACAGTTGACTTTTCCAGTTTTCATTTTGCTTTGCAATTTCACAACTGTTTACAGAACACAACATTTAAGATTTTGTAATTGTTGGTAATTTCTTGAATTAATGTCTGAATTGTATCAATAATCGTGACATGTTAGTGACTAATCCAGGTTTGTACAGAAACATCAGCGTATTGATGCTAGGCTATATAAATAAAACTGATAATTTTCATATAAAGCAGGTGTAGACCACATTCTTTACTGATATTCTGTTTGTAGCACATCTGTTTTGTCTCTGAATGTTTTAAACATCCACAGCTGTCACACAGCATCACAAATTCAAATTAATTCAATTCAATTTTATTTGTATAGTGCCAAATCATAACAGAAGTGGGCGGCTGTGGCGCAGAGGCAGAG